TCTTCTCCTACATGAAAAAATCTTGGAAACTCCTTCACAGATATTATCCACAAATAATTTAAAATTAGGCCTGAATGGCAACCTGTTTTTACCACAAAAGGTGAAATTAGTAAATGGATTATACTGTAAATAAGTCAACTAGCTTTTAATATTTAATTTCTATGGATCATAAGTTTGTTTCATAGTTCCTACGAAGCCTGACTTTAACAGTAAGTAAAAAATATTTACAATAGCATTCTTCAAACATGTTTGAATTGTGACTGCACTGAGCATGAGTGGCTGTGGCCACAGTTCAATGAGGTAGTAAAAGCTAAAACCGGCTCAATTCATTTGCCCCCTCCTCTGCCTCCACATGAGTTATTGCCAAAAGAGATAACACATTGAGTTGTGCCACACTGCAAACTGCAGCAGAGACATGATCCGAGTTAAAAGTACCTCCCCTGTTTTTCCCTTTAGCCATCACTCATGAAGGAAACCAGCAGCATTCACTTGGGATTACTAGCCAAATGCCCACATCCTTAGGCCATAGTCTGAAACCCTGATTTTGCACATGGGAAACCTGGCATTTAGCAACAGAAATTGAAAGTCAAAGAACCAGTCACTCCAGAACGCATCTTCACAGATGACCCATCTTGGGTTCACAGCTAAGTTATCTTGCTGCCAAGTAAATTTTCTGTACAAAAGTTTTCCAGTGAAGGAATTTAAGAACCTCAAAAGCAGGAAAACATAATCCAGAGGGAAAAAGAAAAGCAAAGACAAAATAAATCCAACTACACCCAGCAACATCTTGGGGAAAAAGAAACAGATGAAGGAAAAACTTGTGGATATCTCCTTATCTGATTTTATAAAATCAGCATAGAAATTCTTTAACATCCCCTACCATATAAGCAATCCAACATTTTTTAGTACTATATAGAAACAAATATCTTCTTTGTTCTAAGGAAAATTAATTTTAATGTATTTCCTCTGTTTCCTCTATTCAGGCAACTGCTTAATACATTGATCTTCCATGCATTTCCATTTTCTCCACCAATACGCTTCTTATAATTGGAATGAGCTGCTCTATTAAGCTTCTTAATAGATTCTGTGTTCTCAAAACCCAATAACTTCAGGACAATACACTAAAAAATAGACAACAAATTAAGGTTGGTGTTTGTGAATGTGAGGCTCCATCAACAGTGACCTTTAAAGCTACAGCAAGGATGCTGTTTAAAATTGGTTGCAGAGAAACCAGCGTCTAATATGTCTAATTGCATTAGTTTGTGTCAATGCTATAACACCCTGAGACTCTTTGCAAACAGTTTGTCAGTGGCCAGAAACAAATTACAGTCCTGATATGAAGCAGTAATAGACGTGCAGGTGTCAATGAATCCACTTAGAGCTGTGGGTCCACTGCAGTTGTGAAAAAAACAGGACCTCTGTATTTAGCTGCATCACCTAGCACAGACACAGCCTGGTTTGGGCAATGAAGTCAAGACTGGCCTTAGTTTTGTATGTGCAAGCCACATTGAGGATCACACACAGGACAAAAGTATTTTGACAGTCTAACATAGTTATTTTAATTATATCAATTGAATCCAATAACTATGCCACAATATCACATTAACTTAGTTTGACACACAATGTGAATGGCGGTTTTATTTGCAAAGCGTTGTAAAGATGTAATTCCATTTTCACATAGCAAATGATATAAAAGAATTATCTCAAAGCTTGTTAGACCTGGTATGATTCCTACCTCCTCCCATAGCTTTACAGCCAGCTATCTTCACATGTATTTTATACTACCTCTTAAGACAGACAGAGAGGAGTTTTCCATCACAAGTAAAGAACAAGGTGATCTGACAATGGTTGTGTACGGGAGGAAGTCCTGAACACACAATGAATAGCTGGAGGCAGGGGATGGGGACACCCTGACTGACACTTCACAAACCCCTGGTGCTGGTAGTTGCCAGGTACCCACCCCACCACTGAGCCTCTAGGACAGGGCATGAGACCGTATCTGCTGCAGTAAACGTATCACCAATTCCAGCTTGAAATCATACTGAAGCAACACTAAGAATTAGGATGAATGAGGTATAACACTTGTAAAAATGAATGCAGGTAGCTAACTGAAAACACAAAATCTAGCTTTATGCTTTCTAGGAAAGATCTTATTTAAAAAGCCAGCTCCCAGCTGCTCCTCACCTAGCATTAGCCTTTGCCAACCACTTGCAGATAGTTCTGTGGCTAACAGACCCCCAGCAGCAACGCGACTGCCCTCTTGTTTATACCCATCACCCCCTCACATCTCATCTATTTGTAATTCTAATTCAAAACTGCATATGGCCTGTTTATTTGCAACTTCAGTTTCTGTACCAAGTTACACGTTTCTGCAGCCTCATAGGTTGAACTGTTGCTGTGGAAATCCCCTTGCTCAGGGGCAATTAGCATCCTCTGCCAGGTGAAATACTTCGGGATACAGTTCATTTTGCCTGGAAAAACCGTACAGTGACTTCTACCAGCAGATTACTCTTTTTTTCCCCCTTTAACATGGAAATCATTGTACAAAAGACTTGGCTTTTGTTACAGGTTTTCATGTTTGCCTAGGGCTTAATCACAAACAAGACTGCTAATTATTTGTACCTCCCCCAGCGCTATTAGGTTTATCCAAGATAAGAACAGTTCAGCCACTTGTTCCGCCACCTGCCAGCACAGGACTGTTGCCAGCAATTCGTCGCAATAACTCGGGCTTTTTTTGCAGCTGATGAGGAGGAGTAAATGTTTTTGATTTCCTAGCAGGCAGTTTGACTTGGGGGCTGCAGGAAGGGACAGAGCCTGCAGGGCAGTCTCCGGCCTCCTCTGTCCCAGGCCCGGGCACGAGGGGAGCGCAAGCTGCAGGCCTGGCTCAGTGGCAGGAAACTGTTTTCTGAGGACAGGGTACAGGCATTGGGGTCGGAGTAACCTTGGGTGTTATTTAACAACAGTGCAAGGCCCTGGCTTTCTCCCAGGCCAGCAGCTTTCACCAGCACCAGGCGGGCACAGAGCAGTTCTCCAGAGCTGCGGCTCCACGGCTGGCAGCACAGAGCCAGGGAAGTGCTGAGCACTGGCTCAGCTCGCCCACTGGGCCCTAACCACTGCCTTTTGGGGAAAAACTAACAACGTCAACGTAAAGACAGGCCAAAAGCACTACTGGAGGGTGCTGTTACGACTAAAACCAAGGTTTTATTTAGTCCTGGACAAAAACCAATACCTTTGTTACCAGGACTGGTATCTCTCTCAACTTTGCACAGGTTGTACCATAGTTATTTTCAGACAAATACAGCAACAATTTCAACCTATATGTCGTGCAGCACTCCCCTCATGCAGGAGCAGAGGATTTACAGCGGCCTTCCCCACCCACAGCGCTGTAACTCCCTGGCCAGGCTGTCCGTCACCATCATGCCTGGGCAGAGTGAGAGCTCCTTGGGTCCAAAGAAGAGCCCGGCTCTGCTGGGACAGTCGCTAAACTGCTTCTCTCTCATCAGTTTCCAAAATAAAGTCAGCACTGCAAGAGATTGCAAAACCTCTTCCCTTCTTTTAGCAGGGCTCACACCCCACTGCATATTAAACATTTTTTATAAAAAGAAAAATCAGTTAAATATACAAAATTTTCTCTCCCTTTGAAAAGGGCTACCTAAACAGTAAAAAAAAAATTAAGAAGTATAATCCAGAACAATTATCTTGTGTAGTCTTCGCAGGGGAAACATTTTCATGCTCTGTTGGCTCTCCCACGGGTTCCTTCCACAACAAAAACAAGACTGAAGTCCACCATTTCCCCTTTTTCACCTTTGGCAGAGGTCTTATAAACAAACTAGATAAAAATTATTTCTTATTGCATATAAATAGCAGATGTGAAATCTTAAGTCAAGTGTTGCAGTGGTAACTTCTCAGGTGCTCAAAAAAAAAAAAAACCCAAACTACAACTACTTGTCCCATGTGAATACATGGGAGATTCAAACAGCACATAAAATGGAAATTTGCTCACAACAGCATAAAAAAGGGATTACTATGAAACACTTCCTTGATGGTTTAGATTAGACCTAGCCTAGTGCAGTATGACAGACTAGGAAACAACCCTGCAGAACGGTCATGGTGGACCACCTTGTGCCACTCTGTGGGGCAAAAAAACCCAACGGCTTTAAGTCTCTGAAGGCCGTGGTTGTCTATTCAACAAAGAATCTTCAGTTACTTTAAACATAAATAATGTTTTCATATTCATGTGACATCAGCTGAACCTCACAGGGTGCAAAATTACTGACAAATTAATTTGAGGCAGGCTTCAGCCTAATATCATCTAGGCAAAGATGGATGCATTAGAATTTCAATATCAGTACACAGAACATTATGTGATTAATTACAAAAAATCCTGAAATGCTAAACATTCACAAAAAAACTCTACAAATCCATTCAACAGAAAGCTTTTATACTAGGCAGCCTGATCACACACAGGATTTCCCATCTGAGATAGCAAATACTACAGTGTAATAATAATGAATTTCAGCTTGATGATAAAAAATGAACTCATTCAGGAAGGAGACAAAGAAATTACTGATGTTATCTGACCCACTGCCTGTTCAAAGATGAAGAATTAAAAATAGGTATATCACAGTAACTATTTGATGCCATATATGGCATAACAAAAAAATTCCTATGCTCTTTCAACAGAATGATTTTTCAAAGCCTCTTGTCATGGCAAGAAAGATTTCAACCCTGAGATGCTTTTGTGCAGGACCAGATGATCTAAGCACAGGAGTGAGCTACTCTGGTAGCATCTGCTAGCACATCAAAGCTAGAGAGTCCAAAACTCCTGTACAGTAACAACTGATCTTCACACCTTTTAATGGAAGATTTGCCACAGGTAAAATTTAGGCAATGGCTGAAAGTACTGCCAACACAGGACCATCAGAGACATCCGAAGAAGTTCTTTCTCCCACAGAAGTCCACTACTACAAAGACAAAACACTTAAAAACAAACAGTATTCTGTAACTGACATTAAAATAACTTTATTGGCTATATAGAATGTGCAGTATAGACAGAAATATACTGAAATACAAAGTCCTCCAGAATATCTTGTAGAAAAACCACAATTCATACTTCTACATCTTATTTATAGACATTGCCAAATGTATTCAAGAGCATGAATAAAGTCATATTTGCATTTTTTTCTTCTCTTGAATGCACGTCTAGTATATTCCAAGGCCTTGTTTCTTCAACAGAAAATTGCACAGCTATCTTATTTCCTCATTTGGCCTGAAATCTGATTAAATTTTACATACTCTTCTCTCCCTTACTAGATCCTTTCAAGCTTGACTTCTGCCTCTTTTTTTCCCTTTGTCCCAGTATGCGGTAGATTTTTTTCTTAGCCTCCTTTTGCCTCTTGAATTTCTGTTCATCCTCCTTCTGCTTAACTTTGAGATATTCTTTAAGATGCTCCCGATGTTTTACTTTGGCTTTCCTTATCTTGTAATTATTCACTGTACTCAAAGCACTGAGTAGGGCTGATATCTAAAACAGAAAATAGAGAATCAATATAAAACCACTTCCGTTTTGGTGAGCAAGGAACAGTTTAACCTCAGCAGTAAGCCATATAATGAATCAGAGATTCAGAGCAAGTTCCTAATCATTTCTGCACCTGCTACCCAATTTCTAAAATGGTATAATTACTTATCTTGTTAGCAAGTTAATCAGAGGTTTAATTTTTGTGAACTCTGATTTTGGTTAGATACTATTTAAAAAGCTATGCCTAATTGCTACTATAGAACACTTAAACTGCAATTTGGATCTCCCTGCCTTTGCAAACCTGCTATAACTTTTAATCTTTGAAGCAGAGTATTTGCTTTAAATCTCATCATTGTTAATAATGCATAGCAACGACAAGTCAAATAAAAGACTGCAGGTGACAATTTAAGTAACCCATAATGTGAGAGCACTATGTCCAACTGAAGTACCTTGCAAATGCTGTGACAAGGACAAAAGTCATATTTAGGCTTCAGGTGACCTAGTAGTTGAAAAACAGACACCATCCACTCATCAACAGTTCTATATACATACCACATGCCAAAGAGGAACAAAACTAATTGCAGATGATAATTTTTCACTAGGAGCATATATGTCTTTAGCATTAGCAGTAGATTAAAGTGCTAAAACAATAGTTAGAAATGGTCTAAGCAACACATTCATCCTTCACGAGTCCTTGTTTTAGAATAAGTGATAATTACCTTCTTTTCATGAGGCTCCCTGATAACAGCTGGTCTCCACTGGTCTTTTGGAGTCTTGCCTTTCTTCTCAAGATTCTTAGGCTTGTTCTTAAAAGGCAGTGCCTTCTGCAGTGCTTTAGGAATGTGGAGCTTATTGAAATGCCTTTGCTCCCTCACAATAGGCTAAAAGAATGGAAATAGAACATATGTAAGATTCATGGTCTTAAAAAGCTTTTATTTTCCATCTTTTAGGAGAAAAAAAAAAAAAAAGAAACACCACAAACAGCAACAAAAAACCACTCCCCCCACCCTCCAAAAACCCCAAACCCCAAAAAATGTTCTCTCACGTCCCTGCACTGAACTGTGAATGGCATCTTCACCTCAATTTTACTATGACAGAAGTCTCAGTCAGCTTTTGGAGAAGACTTCTACCCTATAGATTACTTTGCAAACTTTCATTGACCCACAACAATCTGCTTTACACTACTTTATTCCTATATCATGCCAGGAAAGACTGTGCCTTGTGGATAAAAATATGAAGTCACCCATGCATAAGTATGAACATTTATTTACGCTGCTCTCAATCTGCACAATTCTGAGGCAGAGTGCAAATTTGCTTGTGATCACTTATTTAAAAAAAAAAAAAGACAAATCAAATATACCTTATAGAGAGAATCTTTGTTTTGTTTCAGTTTGATGCCTTTCTCATGCCTTAGCTGGCCTGTTGTCTTCATTCCACTCCAACTATCTTTCTCACCTGCTGGCTTCAGCAAGGACGTTACAGGGTTATAAAGTCTTGGGATAGAAACAGGATACCAAGTCCTCACAAAGACAATATCTGAAAGAAAAGGAAAATTTTACTTGGCTCTATAACAACACAGTTCATCACGCCCACACTCTAAGCAAAGATTGCCTGAATAGAACAGATAACTAATATCTAGACCAGATGCTAGTATTCCTTTTGGTATACATACCAAATCTCTTCAACATTAGGCAAAAGCAATGTAACTATTTGTACACTTGGATTCTGCAAAGTCATAAACAATACATACTCCTGAAGAGCAGGCAGCTGAACATCACCCTGTTCATTATTCCTACTGAAGAACTAGCAACAGATTTTATGCACGTATCTGTGCCTGTACTGTTACTGACAAAAAAGATTTGCTTCTCCTCTGCCTATTTTTATAAAAGAACTAACTTGCTTTTATTTTGCACTACCCATGACTTCTATGGGTTTAGGAAAACAGAAGTCATATAAACCCAGATAAGCACAAACTCATGTTCTCAACATCACAGTGACACTTGGCAAACATGGCAGATCACTTATCCCTATCCACTGCATAATTTCCCCAAAAGGTTAGGGGAAAAAAGTTAACTAGAGTTATAATGCCAGTCTTTGGATTTCTCAGAAATACATCCTTTTAGTGCTTGTACCACTAAATACAATTCCTCTTCATGTTCCCGAAAAGCACACCATGCTGCGTAAAACACTTTAAAACCCTCAGAGAAATGGGTCTCCAAGACAAACCTTTTCATAAGCATACTATAGAACTTCCGAGTATAACTGAAAGAAATCCAACATAAAATGTACTTCTTTTTAAATTTCATTCTGCACCTCACCAGATATTTCACGCTCTTTGAATTCACATCTCAATTATCAGATTCCTGAGATTCTGAGATGCAACTTGTCAATCTGTGAAGCAGGATGAAAGTTGTGCAATAACTTACATAGAAAGTGCAACTTACCACTCATCAGCAACTTGTCTTCAAATGTTGCTCTGAAAGCACCTACTGGAGTTCGGAGGGCCTTTTTGATCTGTCCTCGGATACCACTCACAGTACGAATTGCTGCACCTTCAAATTTAGCCACTTCCAACTGAGAGTTAAACATTCCCTGAAAGTGTGAATTACCCACCATCATTCAAGATTCTAAGGCTCTCTCTGGGACCTATGTAGGCCACAAAAACCTAAGTAATGCCTGCAAGCATATCTTATAAAGAAATAGGAAGACCATAACATTGTCTTTATACCAACAGTGCTGATCATTCCAAAAACCTATTGAGATGATTTTACGGTAAGCTACTAAAAGTAATCTACTCAGAGCCATATACCACAAGCAAGGCTTCTTAGTGTAAAATAAACACATTTAAAATTCTAAACCAGAACATATCTAAGAGAATCTGTCCAGTTCTCTTCTAAAGTTATTTGCTGGAACATAGGATACCTTGAAAGCAACTAAGCTGCCTTAGGTTGCTAACTGTGAGACTAATAACAATATTCTCAAAGGTTGGTGCTTCTTTCATAAATCACAAGGAAGTCAGGGAAAATTCTGTGTATGCTTAGTGCAAATACTTGACTGCTTCACTGTTGGGATCAGTGCTTAGCTGCTTACTGCCCCAAATGCAGAACAACCTAACCTCTTCCTGAGCCTGAAAGCTCAACTAGGGACAGCTGGAAGGTCAATAAAGATTCACTTCTGCAACACTTCCTGCTCCAAACACTTTTGTACCTCTAAGTGTGAAGTCCTAAGAACTGCTAGAAGTCATCTCTGATCCCACAGCTGAAATTCAGTGACCTCAAACTGCCTGAATGGCACCAGGGACATGTTCACATTCTCCAGAGGCATCAGCCAC